TATAGAATGTTTTTACCGGTATATTTGCTTACACGCATGTTTGGGCAGGATTTGGCATTCACGGTGACTGAAAAATTCGCGAGGAAACCGATACGCCTTGAGTAAGACTAATGCTCAAACCTTCTCCGTGTGAAAAGAGGCATTCGCTCAGCAGTGGAAACTTACAGGCTGATCACCACAAAAACAAGAAAAAAGCTTTTTAGAATAACTAAATTTAAAAATATAATGCACAATTTACAATACCAATAATTGCAAAACGATTGCAAGAAATCGATATATACCTACCTAATAACTTGGACTCATTACTTTAATCAATTTGATTATAACCTGAAACGCAAATTGCATTATGATTTACCAATAATAAGACAGTTAATACACATGACTGAACCGCCAATTATTATTTTTTAATCCGCGCATAAGCATACAATTTCGTATTTTTCGTAATACGTGTAGTATTGTAATAGCACTATCGGTTTCGTTAATAAGACCTTGGATTTGTATTTTTGAATCATGTAAAGGGTAATTGGAATTACATAACAATAGAATGATTTTTTTATAGACATATTATTTGTTTACGTATGTGAAACTTCATGGACATATGAATAGGTACAATGTGTTATGTAAGGCCTTTTGAGGGTTATAATCATCGAAAGGTCGTGGTGGCCCGAAAGGTTAAGGAGCCCGCTTCTTATGCATGAGGGTGTAGGTTCGAATCCTGGCAAGTACCAATGTGACTTTTTCCGAGTTATATGTACTTCCTATAATTATTTAGACACCACTGACATACGGTGAAGGAAAACATGCATCGTGAGGAAACCTGGACTTATAATTTCTAATTATAAGTTTAAAAGTCAAAAAAGTCAAAAATCATTTATTTCAATTAGACCACAGTAGGCACTTTTGAACGTCAAGCAAGCAAAAAAGGAAAAAAGTATATAACATGAGCTTTAAAATTAAGCATGTCAGTCTGTCCGTCTGTCCTCTAGTGAAGCTATTTGCTCGTTCCAAAGTGTAGATTCCTATGGAGAAGAACGAGCAAGAAACTCCATGGTTACTCTTTTTCAATCAGTTTTACAATACATTTCTTTGTTACATCATTTAGTTGGTTCTGATATGTGAGAACAATGTAACACTAATGTTCAGGCAAAAGGTACGAAAAAGAAGTGAACCTCAAGGACAACATATTTAGACAGCCTGGAGATGACCAATCCCAATAGGCGGCGCCCGTTCACGAACATGACACGTACACCAGCACCGCCCAACTCAACCATATTATAGGGAATTGGGCGATCCAGTGGCCGTGCCACCACCAATGAGACCTCTAAGTGAGCATGACAGCTCCCAGCCGACACAAGTACCTATATTCTACAAGTCTTACTTAATTATAATAGGTTACAGGGTACTCACATTTACAAAAACTTAGAAGTTCATCAACAATTAACAACATAGTGTACAATTTAATAATTAAAATCAAAAATTCCTCTAAACATCCTGTGGAGTAGGACCAGCTAGCCTCCAAGCATTTTTATCTTGTATATAATCATTTAGTTTGTAGTATGCTAGTTTACATAAATGTTTCTTTATACATAATTTAAATTTGCTTTCATTTAGATTTTGAATTTCAACTGGGATTTTATTATAACATTTAACACAGAAACCCAGAAATGACTTATGCACTTTTGCCAATCTAAATAAAGGCTGACTCAATCTATTCCTATGTCTAGTATGATAATCATGTTTGTCAGATACCTTTACAAATAAGTGTAGGTTTTTCCTAACATACATAATGTTTTCATAAATAAATTGACTCGGTACGGTCAGAATGTTGATCTCCTTAAACTTTTCTCTGAGAGATTCGCGACGACCTAAGTTATATATAGCTCTGACGGCACGCTTTTGCAAGATAAAAATAGACTCAACGTCGGATGCCTGTCCCCACAACAGAATTCCATACGACATGATGCTGTGAAAGTAGCTAAAGTACACTAGTCTTGCCGTGCCTACATCGGTTAGCTGTCGGATCTTCCAGACAGCATAAGCTGCAGAGCTCAATCGTCCTGCTAGAGACCTGATGTGGGGCCCCCATTGCAACTTCTCATCTACAGTGATCCCCAGGAAAGTAGTCTCTTTTACAAATTCTAGTTTATGATCATTTAATAATATATCATCACATACGTTTCTTTTAACATTTGGTAAAATAAATCTAATGCATTTAGTCTTTTTATCATTTAGTAGTAAGTTGTTTATTGTAAACCAATTTTGAACCTTCATTAAGGCATTATTAACTTCGTCATATTTGTTTGTTCGTCTATTTATTTTAAAAATCAATGAAGTGTCATCAGCGAATAATACCATATGCGGTTCATTTTGGAACAAATGGGGCAGGTCATTCACATAAACTAAAAATAGAAAAGGACCTAATATTGAGCCCTGCGGTACGCCCATAGATACGCTAGCACCCAGTGAGTTAACTTTGTTGACTTGTACTTTAATTTTTCTTTCTTGAAGGTATGATTTCAATAAATCTAGGGATACCCCCCGAATGCCGTAGTGTTCTAGCTTCAGTAACAGCGTCTCGTGCTCAACACAGTCGAATGCCTTTGAAAGGTCGCAAAATATTCCGATGGCATCCTGTGCTTTTTCCCACGAGTTGAAAACTTGTTTTATAAGTGATACTCCTGCGTCCGTAGTGCAACGTCCTTTGGTGAACCCGTATTGATGGTCATGGAAAATAGAATTCGTGTTAAAGTGACGCAGCATTTGAGTAAGCATCAACCTTTCGAACACTTTACTGAGCACTGGCAAAATAGAGACCGGCCTATAGTTATTAGGTTCTGTACTATCGCCTGATTTAAATAATGGAACTACTTTACTATGTTTCATTAAATCCGGGAAAACCCCTTGATCTACACTTTTATTAAAAATGAAAGTTAAGTGCGGCGCAATAGTCTCTATAAACGACCTGCACACTCGAACAGACATTCCCCAAAGATCTTCAGTTGACTTTACTTTGATCTCATTGAACGCCTTTATTACTGCCTGGGGGGTTGTGTATTGAAAGCTAAAGTCAGAAGGACATTCTTTGACGTTACCCCTGAGAAGCTCGACAGAAAGAGCTGGAGATGATTTTAACGTTTCCGTAGTTTTAAGAGGAATATTTTTAAAGAATCTTTCGAATTCCTGGGCAACTGACGAATTTGAACTAGTATATCCCTTTTCGGTTTTTAAATTAAATTCATTGTTTTGTGATTTATTTCTACCTGTTTCTTTATTAATTATATTCCAGGTAGCTTTTATTTTGTTTTCCGCGGTCCTGATTTTATTACTAATGTGGAGCGACTTAGCATGCTTACATACTATTTTAAATATTTTTGAATATTTGGAAACGTGTCTGCGAAAAGCCTCGCTACTATTAAATGGTTTCAGGCCGTATAGCTCAAATAACCTGTCTCTACTTATACGAATACCTGGTGTAGCCCAGTCACAGAATACAAATTTACACTGAACATTTTTACGTTTTAAAGGAAATAGTTTATCGAACTGTATTTTTATAAGGGATAATAAATTAGCATATATCTCACTCGGGCAATTATTGTCTTGTACTTGGCTGCATAATTCATGTTTTAGCTCATTATTTAATGAATAAATTTTTTTGTATGTGATTTGTCTAAACAATATTTCCTTTTTTGGCACAGTTGTGATAGTATTAAAGTTAACTGTGAGCCCACTGTGATCAGATGGTAATCTATTTACAATTTCACTTTGTAAATAATCACAGTTACAGAAAATATTATCTATACAAGTTGCCGAGGTGGATGTTACTCGGGTGGGCTCAAGGAAAACATTAGACAAATCAAATGATTGAAAGAGACTTAACAAGTTTGAAATCGCCAACCCGCATTGAGCAAGCGTGGTAATTAATGCTCAAACCTTCTCCGTATGAGAAGAGGCCTTTACTCAGCAGTGGGCACTTATAGGCTGATGATGATGAATCATCAAATGGTTTATCTCGCCCTGGGTGCGGCGAAAAGGCGTGTCAGAGTGTTACTGGCTGAAAAATACCCCGTTCCATCTTTTGCTCTAGGCAGCTGCCGCGTTACATTATTGTGCTTAGCCCGCAACCCCGGTTGACAATGATAGGTAGACTTACTTACAAGACTCCTTAAGGTTTTTATGGCAAGGATCTTCAAACAAACTGAAGAACCACCTGATGGTAGATGGTAACCAACACCAAAGAGTTAGAAGTGCATTGCCGATCCTTTATTCTTGTCTTGTTAAGTATTAAAGATTTCGGGGACTTGGGATGAGGTAGGAAAATTGGAGCTTAGGTAGCCACTCATGGAAACGAATACGAAAGGCAACACTATCGTTGTTCAACGCCAGCTATCTATAATAAAGCCTTGGTACCTACCACTCCAGACTGTCCGGTCAATTTTTGCCGTAGCATTTAGTAACATTTATCGATTCTGAAATCCAATCCAAGACCATTTGCTTAGTAAACGCTTTTGGAACTGCTCCATTAAAAGACAGTCTGGAGCTGACCAGTCCCAACTGACAGTACGGTTCACGAACTTGACACGTATACCAGCATCGCCCAATTCAAAGTCAAAGTCAAAATCTTTTATTTCAATTAGACCCATACAGGCACTTTTGAACGTCAAACAAAATTTAAAGATATAAAGTGTCAATCTGTCGGTCAGTTCTCTATTGAAGCTATTCGCTCGTTCCAAAGCGTAGATTCCTATGGAGAAGAACGAGCAAGAAACTCTACGGTTACTCTTTTTAAATCAGTTTCACATAAAGTTTTGCTGATAAATTCAACCATATTATAGGGAATTAAGCGATCCAGTGCCCGTGCCACAGCCACTGTGACCTTTGAGTGAGCATGACAACTCCAAGCTGATATAAGGACCGACATTCTGCTGGTCTAACCCTCGACAAGCGATAACATTAATTACAAAAACATTTTAATAAGACATTGTTATTTTTTCCCTTCACAGAGTGCCATAGTCGGTTCGCGAGTGACTCTGCCGTGCCGTGTGGAGAACAAGGTGGGGCATCTACAATGGACAAAGGACGACTTTGGACTGGGGACGAATCGCAACCTGAGTGGATACGAACGGTACTCCATGATAGGGAGCGACGAAGAAGGTAAGCCATAAGAGACTTATTTAAGTTATTTGAGTGTGGGAGATCCAAGTTTCGGCACGGACACGAATATGTCAGCTCGGCTGGAGTACAACTACTGCTTTGTGTTTGACTGCGTGAGCGAGGTTACCAGAGGCCCAAACTTATACCTCCCTCAATCCCTAAATCTTCCAAATTCTTATCCCCAAAAAGTGGGCAACGCACTCGTAAGTTTTCCGTTGATCCGGAAGTCTATAGGCGGCGCTGATCGATTACTATCAGGTAATCCGTCTGCTCGTTTGCCGTTCTGTTACATATCACAACAAATTATACATATATATTTCAAAATTTTCAGCCCTAATGTAAGATTGAGATCAATTATTTTGGTATTAGAATTCTTGTGAAACGTATACAATTTATATTTTTGTTTGACGGTGCCATTACGTAACTGTTTGGTGAGTTACCTCAACTAGTGTCTAGCCGAATAAAGCTCAAGTTCAGAGTAAAGCGTGACCAACAAAAATCTTGAGAACGTTTCAAGGACGTTACTGTCCACCCTTCGGTTGATCATTGCGTTTTTGGACATACACCATTCACAAGACAACATTCTAGCAATCATAAAGAACTGTAGTACCAACCTTATTCGACTGAGAATAATCGGTCAGTTTCTGACTCCACCTATCAAGTTTTCCTTATGTTACTTAACCAACTTAACAATTCTTTATTCAACTTTTACGACTTCAACCAACAGAATCGACGGAAGAGGAAAAACAACCCATTTTATTTTCCGAAAGAACTCTTAAAACAAAAACTATAAGTTTACATTTTCAGTGAAAAACTAAAAGTTTCTCGGAAAAAATGTCGTTTATTAAGATTCATGCTGTTTTCGCAGTTTCGCCTTAAAATATATTAAAATAAGAAAGGTTTAGCGTAAAAATGTTTTTATTGCAATAAAAAAAGAAAATATTCGTGTCGGTCATCGCTACGCATTTTTGTTATGACTCAGAATGTAAATAAAAACGCACTTTTCACACAGCAACAAGGAGAAATAACGGGTTTTGAACTCTAAAATGAAGACAGAAGAGTTTAAAGTAGAATTGTGATGTAATAGCACACGAAAAATTTTTCAATAGGTACACAAGTCTCCTTATTGATATTTATGTTTTTTTTAATCCTAATTACAATATATATATTTTTTTGCCACATACTAGGTAGAAGAACTTTGTGAATCTATTGATTATAATCCTCTTTTCTTTTACTAATTATTAGATTAACATGGCAATTAACATTTCGTACAAAAAAGGATAAAATAGAGGGGTTGACAATTACACCTACTGCTATCCTACTCACACTTTAGAAGCGACAGCATGATTCTATCTCTTTCACTTAAAAACTTCTGGACAGTTCTAAATAAAATTTGGTATAGATATAGATTACAATGTGGAACTTACATAGGTATAACATATTTCGGTATAAGCTACTTTTTACCCTGGTCTTGAAGCAGACGATGCTGGCTGAAGCCTAGCGTTTTAATCTTCTAGAGATACTAATAAGTAAGTGCAAGGGACGATCTCCGGCCACCGTAAGCGCATGTCTGCGGTCGGCGAGTAAGGGCAGCTCGCCGCCCGACCAGAACCAGGCCCGAGTGTACGGCGCGTAGCGTTCCGCGCGCGCCTCAAAGAGCCAATAGACCACCACAGACGGGGCCCTATAGGGCTGATGTTCAGCTGGGGTTGCGGGGTAAGCGCAATGAGGCACCGCGACCTCGGCCCAGAGCAGGAGAAGGAACAGGGGGTTTTTAGTCAGTAAGAGTCTGACACTCCCTCCCGCCCGGCCCTGGGCGGGAAAAGTCATTTGATGATTTTCCCCTAAAAAAAGCGCAATTACTTTTATCTGATAAAAAGACTATTTATTAAAATAGGAACACTAAACCTACGACTTCATGAAGTTACTAAAATATATTAATATCTTACAAATTAGAATCTAAATAATTTTTGAATTTAATATAAATCTATTACATAGATTTTTTATGGAAGGAAATTGAAAAATATATTGCTATCTATTTGTAGAAAGTTTAAACTTGTTTCCCAGTAGTATTTCAATAATACTACATCATTACTCACAAAATTCTAGATTATTTTGGCACGAAAACCTAGTATAAGAAAAACTGAAGCTAGAAAGATATTTTAGGCATATAACTAGGCAAAATTAAATATTTTGAGCTAAATCTATACTAATATTACGAAGAGGTAAAATTTGTAGGTGTGTATACTGTGTATGTAGGGGGTAATCTTTATAACCGCTGGTCGGATTTCCAAAATTCTGTCTCTGATAGATAGCTACAATGTTCTTGAGTGCTATATGTTTATCAATATATCGTATTTTAATCGAGCTCTAGCTTTAAACGCTTCTGTTTTTAAATCCCGGTATACGTTACTTATATACGCGTACGAAGTCGCGAGCGAAAGCTAGTGGTGAAATAGTGATAGAGCATAAACATATCGCCTGTTATTTGAAGGTGCAGGCAGAGAAGTACATCGTGTAGTTCACATTTTTGCTAAGCGATTGGAGTTTCTCGAGGATACGGCATTAAAAAAAGGAGAAAATATAAATAATTGTTTCACCATCAACAGACCAATGGTAATTGAAGCTTTGACTTGACCGTCATGATATTCTTTGTGGTAAGGAACTGGCTCATCCGACTGGAACAGTGCTATGGGTATAGAAAATCACAGAAAACTTAAATGAAACAAGCTCTTTTTTCGACTAGTGTTCGACAATTATTCCTCCTATTTGTTCAAAAAATTATCATCGTGTAAGTGCGCATTTAATTCTTAAATACTATATATAATAGAACAAATACATATGTATTTCTACTAGAAGGAACAAAGACACAGAATCTAACAACACTATCATACTATACATGATAGCTAAAAAATACTTAGCAAGCTTATAGTTAATCGTCCCATACATTGTCTAAAGGTTATCAAAACCATCGTACTTTCCCCATATAACATCCAGCGACCTCCCTAACGAACCAGGGAAGTATGTAATCAATACTCTTTGTTATCTTTTACCTTTCTATAAATAAATATCCGTGTTCCGTTGATTCTCGTTAAATAGGGACTTTGATACTTTCTGCTCGATGTAAATACGTTGATATAAAGATATATTTGAAGGCAAAATGGACTTGCCATTACATCACTTCACATTATCAGCCTATCAGAGGCAAAAGCCTTTTCGCTTACAGGGAAGGTTTGAGCATTAATCGCCACATTTGCTCAAGGTCAGTTGTCGTATTGGCCCGGAGGTTAAGGAGTCCGCTTGTCATGCATAAGGTGGGTTCGAAACCTGGCAAGTACCAACGTGACTTTTTCCGAGTTATATGTACTTTCTATGATTATTTAGACACCACTGACATAGACACACTGACACTGCAAATATTGGAATAGCATAGTACCCAATATCGAAGAATAGGATCACCGCTTTACAAGATCTAGATTCTCTGTGCTTTTCACTTTAAAAGTGACATGACGTGAAACGCTCGTCATGTCACACATTAAATTTAAATTACAAGTGCGGGTTGGCGATTTCAAACTTATAATCAGAAATTATAGGTCTAGGTTTCCTCACGATGTTTTCCTTCACCGTATGTCAGTGGTGTCTAAATAATCATAGAAAGTACATATAACTTGAGAAAGTAACATTGGTATCAGCTTGCCTTACTATGCTTAAAATTCACTGCTTAGCCAATGCAGTTACTGATTGGATGTCAAAAACCTTTGAAAGAAGAGGGTTTTAAAATTGAATTCAAATATAATTTTTAAATCTACTTTGATCTAGTGTCTATGTGAATAAATTGATCGAAAGATAAAGCGATTTATCGTTTGATGTTTTATCACATACGATTTAATATTTGAATTATAAGTGAGCCATGCTTTGGCATGAACGGGCCGACTCGACCAGAATAATATTTCGTATTATTCTGCTTCTCCCCATCCCCAAATCGCCAATACTCAAACTCCTAACCCTCAAAAAGCTGACAAGGCTCTCGTAACCCCTCTCGTGCCGATTGCTTACCATCAGTATATCCACCTGTTTCTTTGCCAGCATTTTGCTAGATATACTTTGATTATAGAATGTTGTCAATGGCTATGCTAGTCAAATTATGTCAACTGTCATTAAACATGTTCTAGCGGTCGCCCGTGATCCGCCGGCGTGAATGTCGATTATATACTTTTTTAAATTTTAAATTTACTCTACGTACAAATCTTCTCTGGACTTCGACGAATAATTTAAGACTAATAATTAGGTAAATCGGTAAAGGCATTGTTCAGTTATTATACCATTGCAACGAAAAGTGGCATTGATTTTTATATATAGAGATAATTATAAGTTTTAATTGGCGCAGGTGGAAGAAATGATTTTTGTATCCACCAGTATTAGCATAGAGTTGAAAATAATGATATCTTTTAGTTCAACATGATTTAATGTATAACAAAATACGATTATATAGTACACTTTCATGCTTTGTATATAATAAAGATAAATTTCGATAAAAAATCCCTAGGATCTAATTAATTACCAACCACTGAAATATAATTCTTATAAACAAGATTATAAGATACTTATTTAATTACGTTTCCTTGAAAAGGTAACTAATAACCTTCTTAAAGAACGAAGTAAATGAGTACCGTTGACAGATACATCCAAGAACCGAACTAAAGTAGGTTAGTAACAGCGTGGCATGTTCCTAAACGCACCTATTTCAATCGCACCTTTTTAATCGCATCAATTTATTCCCTTACTGGTTTTTTGAGATTTAAATAGGTTATACCTAGTGATTGGATTATTATTATTTGTATGTTCCTTTCCACTCACGGGACCACAGGGTCCCGGACTTTTGGAAGGCGTACGAGGGGCCGAAGCCAACTCGCAGAGGCCCTTTGAACAACTTTAATATAAGTGAAATGTGACATCAGCCGGCAGTTATCCCTGTATGCACTATGAAAGTGCACCCAAGG